TTCTCCACTGCCCCCAATCCTGCTTGATGAAGCCCAGAGAAATGTCACCCACCACCCCTCTGTACCACCCCCCCAAATTCCCTGTTCCCCCCCCTTTTTCTAGTTTTTACTTTTTCCTTTATATTATTAATATAAGAAAGGCAAGAATGCAAGGCTCTTTGAACCGTCTGCACCATGGACCCCTGTGACCCACACGCACGCCTCCAGATGGGCTCCAGAGCCAGAAAGTCTAAGTCAACCTTGTAACACTGGACCCTACAACCTGATTAACCAACCTTGCAACATTCTGCCATTGTTCCTGCCTCAATCGTCCTGCCTCAACTGATAAGCCAACTTTGTTACGCTGGACCTTGGAGCTCGTGACAACCCCTCCCCCCACAATACCCCCTGCCCCCTGGCTTGCAAAAACCACCCTGAACTATAACTTCTGTAACTTTCCACTGCCTACCCCAAACCTATAAAACCAACTCCTATCCCACCACCCTCCATTGACTCTTTTCAGACTCAGCCCGCCCACACCTGGGTGAATAAACAGCGATGTTGCTCACACAAAGCCTGTTGGGGGGGGGTATCTTCATTCAAAGCACGCTTAACAGTAACCACACATAGCTATTTACATTTTTTTTTTTTACTTTTATTATTATTTTTTTTTTTTTTTTGGTAGAGACGAGGTTTCACCATGTTGGTCAGGCTGGTGTCGAACTCCTGACCTCGTGGTCCCCCCACCTCAGCCTCCCAAAGTGCTGGGATTACAGGCGTGAGCCACCACCCTGGCGCTATTTACATTTTAATTTAACTAAAATTAAATACAATTAAAGGTTTAATTCTTCAGTCACTCTAGCCACATTTCAAGTACTCCATAGTCACACGTGACTAGTGGCTATCGTATCTGTGGAGTCTGATCTAGGAACAGAAAGTCAGGCTGGTGGGACCCAGGGAAAGCCAAACCAGAAATCAGATAAACTAGAAGTCTGCCTTTCTTTATGGTCCAGGACACACAGCCCTCCTGTGCAAATAACTTACAATCTTCCTTCGCCTACTATCACCAGACACCTGCAAGTTAGCTCACTGCAACCTCGGTGTTTTATCGGTACTGCACATAGCATTCTGCAGCCTAAGAACCATCCTATAAAACCCCCAGCAACACTCTGTTTCCTGGCAGGAAACAAAGAATCTTCTGCTGATTCTGACTGTTGCACTCTTGCAACATATTTTCCTAGTTTCTCTAATAAATCCGCCCTTCTTCACCTACAACTGTCTTGGTGAATTCTTTTCTTTTTTTTCCCTTTGAGATGGAGTGTCGCTCCTTGCGCAATCTCGGCTTACTGCAACCTCCACATCCCGGGTTCAAGCGATTCTCCTTCCTCAGCCTCCCAAGTCGTTGGGATTACAGGCGTGCGCCACAACACCAGGCTATTTTTTTGTATTTTTGGTAGAGATGGGGTTTCGCCATGTGGGCCAGGCTGGTCTCGAACTCCTGATCTCAGGTAATCCACCCATCTTGGCCTCCTAAAGTGCTAGGATTACAGGTGTGAGCCACTGCACCCAGCTTTGGTAAATTATTTTACCCCCGTGCCACCGGCCTAGATCGTCACTGCTCACCTACAACATTTTGGTGGCATTTAGGGGGAACTCTCTCTGGATGGGAACTCTCCTCATAGGAAACCCTCTCCCTTCTCTCTTTCCCTTTCTCAAGTTGGCACCCTCAGAGAACAGCCTCTAAGCATGGAGGCAACTGCAGGTCTCTGGCAGGAGCTACACTCTGGTGGGACTGAGGAGTCTGTGTGGAAGCGTCTGACTGCCACTGCCCGGTTAGGGTGAGCGGCCTGGGTTCACTTACTCTTTTCGGTCTTTCAGCAGCTGGCTTCGATGGTAACCATCTGGCTGCTCTCCAGTGCTGCCTAAAGGCCAAAGGGTGAAGAGGGCTGGCTGCCTTGCCTGAAGAGAAGAAGACTGGCCTATCTTTTCTGGTCAAAAGTCCCTGATCACTACAAGTGACGTGACTGGCAGCAGAAGCTCATTCAGAGCGAATTCACACATTTTGGGTAACTCAGGCACTCTCTCACTCTACATTCTCCTGTGGAGTCAGCCAGCCATTCTGTCTTGGACATTGCTAAATCAGGTGACCTCGGACAGCCTCAAAATGGTGAGGGTTCCCTTACCCACCCCCTCTCCTGGACAGGCATCAGGTGAGATCTTCCTTTATCCTTTTTTTCCTCAGACCTGGGCTGATCACCCAGCGTGAGTACCTGGACTGGCTGTCCGGCGTTAAAACCCATGACCAGCCAAGTGCTCTTTTCTAATCGGTGGAACGCCCCTTCAGAAAGTACACCCCAGTCCGCAGATGCAAGCGGAACCCTCTTTTCATCTCAGCAGGACGTCCCAAGAAAAGTGTAGTTAGTGCCCTCACGTGGCACGGCCCCCAAGCAGCATGTTTTCCAGCCCCACCATGGGACAGTTCCCCCATCTATCCTTCAAACTCACCTCTGGGCTACACTCTAAAGCCTTAAAACAAATTTAACTCTCAGACTCTCAAAAAAGAGAAATGTCTAATTTTCTTGTGTAACACAGCATAACCCTTATGGGAAAAAAAAAAAATCATCAAATTAGCCTCCTCAGTCTTTTACAACCAAAGCAGAATAAGGAGAATGAGGCTAAAAAGACAGATGCAGAGAAAAAAAGCAGGCTCAACTGCTGGCTGCTTCACAAGACCCCAGCCACTTTCCGTGGCCCTAAGGACACTCCTCCAGATAACTGCCACTAAAAGGGAAGACACCTCAGTTGAATAAATGAACAAAAGCCCCACATGCTTGCCCCCTCTGCCACAAGCTCGGCCATTGGAAACAGGAATGCCCTGAGAGCCAAAGGGCCTCCGGGACAGAATCCCAAACCCCAATGGCCTTAAGGTAAAGAGGCTCCTTACCAGCTCACCTTAACCAGTAACTTGCAGAGGTGAGGAAGAATTCATCTCACCCATAAAGGTCTGGGCTGCTAAGGCTCTCCCTGATGAGAGATAAACAAGGGTGTTAGGGGTATAGGCCCCACACTATGCAGTGGCTGAAAGGCTCACAACCCCTCCTGTAAAGCTTAACCTTTTCCTCTCCGTTCCTTTTTTCTTTTTCTGTTCAATTTAGGGGTCCAGATTGAACATCCTAACCCCTGATTTTATTGTTCTCTTTAAAGCTCCAGCTGGTTACATATTACGGCCTGTTTTTGTGCACATTTTAAACTAATGGGCAAACTACAAGAAAAATTCGGAGCGCAAATGGTTAACCTGCACGCTAGGGTTAAGTAGAATCTTCTAAAGTTCTCTATCTTCCTCTCTTTTTTTTTTTTTCCTGTCTGCTTTAAATCTACTGTTACTAAGTCACTGGTGCTGAGATAAGACTCATTATTTATGGTCTAACTAGAATGTAAACATTGAAAACTCATTTAAAGTTAAAGAAAAAAAAAGGTAAAAGAAGCTCTGTTCAACAAATAACCTAGAATTTTTTAAACTTCCTTAAAAGTTAATAGAAATAGTCCAGCCCAGTGGCTCATCCCAGCACTTCGGGAGGCTAAGGCAGGCGGCTCATAAGGTTAAGAGTTTGAGACCAGCCTGAGCAACATGGTGAAACCCCCCATCTCTACTAAAAATACAAGAATTAGCCCAGCGTGGTGGCAGGCGCCTGTAATCCCAGCTACTAAACTCAGGAGGCTGAGGCAGGAGAATCACTTGAACCCAGGAGGCAGAGGTTGCAGTGAGCTGAGATTGCGTCACTGTACTCCAGCCTGAATGGCAAGAGCAAGACTCTATATCAAAAAAAAATTAATAAAGATAAGTCCTACACCTCTTTCGAATCTTATTCTTTGGTTTTTGTTTTGTTTTGTTTTGTTTGAGACAGAGTCTCGCTCTGTCGCCCAGGCTGGAGTGCGGTGGCACAATCTCAGCTCACTGCAGCCCCTGCCTGCCAGGTTCAAGCAATTCTCCTGCCTCAGCCTCCTGAGTAGCTGGGACTAAGACGTGCGCCGCCACACCCAGCTAATTTTTGTATTTTTAGTAGAAACAGAGTTTCACCATGTTGGCCAGGCTGGTCTTGATCTCCTGACCTCATGATCCACCCACCTCAGCCTCCCAAACTGCTGGGATTACAGGCATGGGCCACCACGTCCAGCCATTGAATCTTATTAGAGCTACCTTTTTATTCAGTTCTGTTGCAGGCTCTCAGTAATTATCCAACTGCCTCTCTTATGCAGCTTCACCCTCTTAATATTGAAGTTTTTATAAGGGAGATAGTATACAATTGCTATTTGCAAGGAAACTTCCAAGATTACCCCCCAGACAAAATTTCTTTATAATTGTCCCAGTAATGATGTATAACCACCACAGCACAACAATGTGCTGAGGTACTTGGTGTTCAACTGTTTTTCTTACACTCTTTACAGCCCTTCTTTCCTGTCTCCCTGCGTTTCCTGTATGTTGTTATTTTCCTTAAATACGGCTCTGTTTTTATTTGTCTATCATGGCCATTGTCTCAGTGTCTATACCCAGGCATCCGCTCTACTCAGTAACATCACAGGTTGCTACCGTAACACACAGCACTAACTGCTGGATGTGCCCTCACACACAAGCACTTGAGGACGACATCACACTCTTAGCCGTCCCATGATCTACATAGAAGAAATTGTTTAGCCCAGTTCTCTGGATTAGACTACACCGTTTACATGCACACCAAAAGCATAGGTCTAGGAGAGGGACCTAGGCCAATAAGCCCCTCACGGCGATCATCCACCGTGACAAAGCAAATAGAGAAGGCACCACAAATGGCCTGTAAGGATCGCCTCCGCATCAGAAACTCCAAGGGGTCTGGCCCTTTGCTAGAGGCTTTATCACCAGCCTGTCAGGCCTCCAAGTCCAAGCCTGGCCATTATAGCCTTGGTGACCCACACATACACCTCTGGATGGTCCCCAGGAGCCAGGAAGTGTGAAGTAACCAGGTGGCCACAGAAAGAAGTGAAACAACTTGTTCCTGCCTCAACTAATTGCTCTCCCCTTGCAACCTGCAACCATTGTTCCTGTTTAGCCTTGCAAAAATGCCCCCATTACACTGGGTTTCTCAAAACCCCCACCCCTGTAACTGTGTAGTTTACCGTACCCTCCCCTCTGATTGCGACCAATACACCCCCACTCTTATGATCACGCCTGTTTGTAATAAATGACCCCTACCCTTGTGATCATGCATCCCATGATGCCTTTCCTCTCCCCAAGATAGATTACCAGCGTTAGCTGAACATGTGCCCCAATCTATAGAACCAATCCCCTCGTCTACCCCCTTTGCCTAACTCACACTTGGCCCGCTTGCACCCAAGCGTGAAATAAACGGCCTTGTTGCCCACACAAAGCCCGCCTGGTGGACGCTTTAGGTCGCCTTCCAAAGCCCATTATAATTACATCCTTAACTATAATCAAACACACCAGGAATGGTAGCCACACAACAACTCTAACAAGTTCTCTGTGTACCTCTGCAGGTTTTCTCTGCGGTTGGGAAACAACAAAGTTAATGCCAGCAAAATTTAGAGTGATTTCTTTATGCCTATAAATAGTTCCGGAAATGGGATGGAATATAGAGGAACAAGGGTTGAAACTGAGCAACTTCTTAACCTCACTAATGTCTCCATCTTTTCCTCAATTTTCCCTTATCCCATTAATATTTATCTGTCAGGACAGACTCAACTTCTCCTGCCTATAATAATGCTTATATTAGTTTATTTGCACCCTGTATTGTTAATGAAATATCTTGTTAGCCAGGCACGGTGGCTCACGCCTGTAATCCCAGCACTTTGGGAGGCTAAGGTGGGTGAATCACAAGGTCAGGAGTTCAAGACCAGCCTGGCCAATATAGTGAAACCCCGTCTCTACTAATAATAGAAAAAAAACTCAGCTGGGCATGATGGCATATGCCTGTAGTCCCAGTTACTCGGGAGGCTGAGGCAGAAGAATCACTTGAACCCGGAAGTACAGGTTGCAGTAAGCCGAGATCGCGCCACTGCACTCCAGCCTGAGTGACAGAGCAAGACTCAGTCTCAAAAAAAAAAAAAGGAAAAGAAAAAGAAATCTCTTGTTTTGTGTCTTCTAGAATACAACAACTTCAAACGAAAATGTTACTGCAGTAGGGTATCAGCTACTAAAAGAACTAATGAATCCCCTTTGGAGCCAGCAGAACAAAATTTTAGGCTGCAAATGCTGTTCCCCTGTGGTCCCACAGCAACTCTGCCCAATTTATCTCCCAACCAGGGATTTAGGCCCATGTAACCTCCTGACCGACTATCAATCCTAGGTGGGGCTAACTCTACGTCCCTGGTCAGCAAGAAGGTGAAGGTGAGACCTTCACTCACATGCCAAAGATTTGTCATCGCTCCTCTGTCAGGGGAGGAATGTGGAGTCCTAATTACAGAAGTCAGACTAGTGGGACGGAGGGAAAGCAAAAACAGAAATCAGATAAGCTAGAAGTCTGCCTTTCTTCATGGTCCAGACACACAGCCCTCCTGCACAAATAACTTACAATCTTCCTTCGTGAACTATCACCAGATACCTGCAAGTTAGCTCACTGCAACGTTGGTGTTTTATCGGTACTGCACGTAGCATTCTGCAGCCTAAGAACCATCCTATAAAACCCCCAGCAACACTCTGTTTCCTGGCAGGCGGCTCCTCTTCTTCTGACTCTGTTGCCCTCTTGCAACATATTTTTCTACTTTCTCTAATAAAACTGCCCTGTGTCACCTACAACTGTCTCGGTAAATTCTTTTCCCCCACGCCATCGGCCCAGTCGCCGCTCACCCCCAATAATATCTGACAGTGCAGATCTAGAATATCTCAATCACTGCAGAAAGTTTTGGAGCGTGCAGTTCCAGATAGAATAATAAGCCAGGTGCACCATCTGAAATATTACTTTTCTACTCAGTGGAAATTTAGCCTTCAATCTCTTGTGTGTGAGGGTATGAGGCTGTCTCCCCGAATTTTGGAGTGTGCGAGGGGTTGGGTATGTCCATGCTCCATCTTATTTCCACCTCTGAGAATCACGCTGTCTTCCTAGCCTGCACAAATCTAAGATGTGAAGATGAATATCTGCAGTCAGGAACTAAATTCTCATGGAATTACTTCTGTGCCACATTTTGATATGGAATGTGGGGTCACAGGTTGTGGTGAGCAAACCCAGCCCATATCTCTCCAAACATTCCCTGATGAGTGCCCACAGTATTACAACTGGAAATGGTTTACTGTCCCATAGCTTCCTATACATACATAAGTTTCTATCTACTTGTTCCCTTGAAAACTAGAGCAAAGACCTGCAAAACCAAGGTACACCCAATAAAAACTGCCATTGACATTACAAAGCAAGAATAAAGAAAAATTTCTGACATGATTTCATGAAGCAACTTGTTTTTTTGTTTGAGAAGGGGATGGGGGAAAAAAGTCTTGTTTTCTACTGATTTGATCCCAACTTGATCAGCTATTAAGAATTTTTGATACAGCCAACTTTAAAGTCCTGTTTCCCTTGACATTCACATTAGGACTTCATTCACCACACACTGACTCACTCCTGTCTCTTTGCCAATCAGTACTTCAAAAGATGTTTTTCATTAAATTCTTCATTACACATGGAACATTTCACTATGGGAGAAAAGCAGAAGCAGGACTCCTGGGGGGGGGTTAATTATATTAATACTGCTTTATGATTTGATGTTTCAAGGATTAAATTAATATAGGACTAAAATAACTTGTATCTGTGTGACCTGAGGAAACAGACACAGATTTTCAAAGAAAACCCAAGGTAATAAGAAAATGTTAATTTTAAAAAGTATATATATAATTCTCATAGCAGCATTTTTTAAAAGCTCCTTAGAAATCATGAACTAATGTCCTTAAATTTTCAAGACTTACATGGAAAAAAACAAAACCTTATTAAAAAAAGTATTTTTAAAATACTAACATGTTTCTGTTTAGACAAATTCACTATTATAAAATGTCAAGTCCTCCCATGTTAATGAATTAATATATATTTTCAGCAAAATTTCAATTTATAAAAAATAAAATGTTTAAAGAACTTAATGAAGCAGCTCTCAAGGTTATCTAAAAGAATAAATAAGCCAGAATTGCAAAGATGTTTTTAATAAAAAGAGAAGTATCAAGAGGGAATGAGGGAATCTTCTTTCAGGTGAGGCTTACAGGATAATAGTAAATCAAATAAAACAAAACGAAATAAAAAATTTAAAAGTGGAAGAGGGAATCTTCTCTAACATTTTAAAATATAAATTTGTAAAACATTAAAATAATTTTTTTTTTTGAGACAGAGTCTTGCTCTGTTGCCCAGGCTGGAGCGCAATGGTGCAACCTTGGCTCACTGCAACCTCCACCTCCTGGGTTCACGTGATTCTCCTGCCTCAGCCTCCTGAGTAGCTGGGATTATAGATGTGCACCACCACGCATGGCTGATTTTTGTATTTTTGGTAGAGATAGGATTTCGCCATGTTGGCCAGGCTGGTTTCAAACTCCTGACCTTGAGCGATCCATCCGCCTCAGCCTCCCAAAGTGCTGGGATTACAGGCATGAGCCACCGTGCCTTGCCTGTAAAACGTTAAATTGTTAAAGTCGGGTACTAACATGAAAGTAAGCCCATCGATAGAATAAAATAGAATATTCAGTAATAAATATATATAGTACAAAAAGCATTAACACATTCCATGTGTGATAAAGGTGGCTTTTTAAGTAAATCAAAAAAGAAATGAATCATTTGGTACAACTGGCTGTCTGGAAAAGAAGTTAAATTCCTACTTGACTCCATGCAGTAGGCCAAGTAATGGATTCCCCCAAAGATATCCAGATCCTCATCCCCAGAAACTATGAATATATTACATTACACAGTAAAAAGAACTTTACCAATGTAATAATGATTACAGACCTTAAGCTAGGGATAATATTCTGGATTATCAGGGTGAGTCCAATGTAACGACAGGAACTCTTTGGCTGTGGCTCGTGGCTGGAGTCAGAGAAGCTCACGGAAAGAGGAGGGACTCAGAGTAACTCATGGAAGGAGAGATGCAGCAGCAGCGAGATGGAGTTTTGATCTTGTTGCCCAGGCTGGAGTGCCAGGGCACAATCTCAGCTCACTACAACCTCTGCCTCCCAGGTTCAAGCAATTCTGCCTCAGCCGCCCAAGTAGCTGGGATTACAAGCATGTGCCACCACATCCAACTAATTTATTTATTTTTTTAGTAGAGACGGGGTTTCGACATGTCAGGCCGGTCTTGAACTCCTGACCCTCAGGTGACTCACCGGCCTCGGCCTCCCAAAGTGCTGGGATTACAGGTGTGAACCACTGCGCCCAGCTGAGATGCGGCAGATCTGAAGCATGAAAAGGAGTGGGTCCATCACTGCAGGCCTTGAAGGTGGAGTGGGGAAGAGTGACGAGGAATGTGGGTCACCTTAAGGAACAGAGGCTCCCAGCTGACACTCAGTAAGAAAATGAGGACCTCAGTCTTACAGCTACCAGGAACTGGATCTTGTTCAACAACATGAGTGAGTTTTAAAGCGGAGGTCTTTACAGACTTTCCCTGTAGGATCCCAGCCAGCCAACACCTTGGTTTTGGCAGTGTGAAACCAGCCAAGCTAACCCACACTTCTAACCTGTGGAATGTGAGATGACAAATTCATGCTGTTTTAAGCCACTAAGTTTGTGGTCATTTATTATGGCTGCAGTAGGAAACTAATACACGTCGTACACCACGTATACCAAAGTTAGTTCCAAAAGAATAAAAAAAGTCAGTGTGAAAATACCACAGCAATAAAAAGGAACAAATTGCTGATAAAAACAGCAACATGGATGGGACGTGGTGGCTCATGCCTGTAATCCTGGCACTTTGGGAGGCCGAGGCGGGTGGATCACGAGGTCAGGAGATCAAGACCATCCTGGTCAACATGGTGAAACCCCGTCTCTACTAAAAATACAAAAATTAGCTGGGCATGGTGGTGTG